TTTTCAAAAATGTTGAGGTAATTAAAGATTCTTTAAAAAGGATATGAAAATGTTCCAAAATAAAGGATATTAAAGAGTCAGGACAACTAAATGTAGTACCTGACCCTACCAGGGGTATTCAACCTGTCGCCTGTGGGCCACATGTGACCCAGGATGGCTATGAATGTTGCCCAACACAAAATCATAAATATATTTAAAACTCCCTTTTTTTGTGCTCATCATTTTTTGTTAGTGTTTGTGTATTTAATGTGTGGAGCAAGATAACTCTTCCAGTGTGGCTCAGAGATGCCAAATGGTTGGACACCCCTGACTGAATCTGTCCTACAGATGAAAATGCTACAAGGATCAACCGACAAAACTGGAATATGATGGTAGATTAAAGTATTATTTCAATGTCAATTTATAAAGTGTGTAAGAAATACACCCTCAAGTATTTAGGAGTGAAGGATATGTGTTAAACTCAACTCAAATGGTTCAGAAAACAAATTGTATATAACATACATAACTGTGAAAAGACAGAGACAGATGCTGCATAAAAGGAAGCAAATGATATGGGTGTTCTCTGAACTATTTTTCCCACTTTTGTAAGTTTGAAATAATTTCCAAATAAAGTTTTTTTATTAAGTTGAAGAAATAAGAAAACAGGAAAATAAAAGGTACCTATGTAGATAAGTTAAAAAAACAACTATTTTCAAGTTATTTTTCAAAAGGTTTTCTTCTTTGAGTCTTCATTCTTTCTTAAAAGATGCAAAGATCTACAGCTTTCATAATTTTATCTAATTAAGTTAATATGTTGAAGCCAACATCCCATCAGTTGTAGGTTACTTCCTATTAGTAGGAATGATAAAATAAGCATTGAAAGTACAAGACCTCTGTCCTTCACACTATCCTTATTTACTATTTGTTAACTAGTGATGGCATTCCAGTTTCACAAGTAAAACCTCAGATTTTAAATTATGACTTCAGCTCTACTCTTATGACAAGAGTATATAGAGACACAAACTTTGTGGGTGAAAAAGTGGAGAAAGGATGATTAACTCTTCACTGTATTCAAGATGAAAGAAAGTTGAAATCTGCTCTAATTTAGTTCCTAAATAATTGAGTTCTCTCTTTTCATAATGTACATCACTTTGTGGAGTATTAAAATTTGGGGAAGGTATCCTTTTCTCTTTTTTTAATTTTATTTAAATGGTTGTTGCAGTACAATTTTCTATCTTTTAATCCATCCCAACCCACCCACCCAACCCTCCCCTCCTCCCTCCCATTTCCACCCACCCCTAGTTTTTACCCATGTGTCCTTATACTAGTTCCTTTAAACCCTCCCCCTTTTCCCCTAAAATTACCCTGAAATTCCCTCTCCTCTACCCTCTGAACTCTGTCAGTCTGTTCTTTATTTCAGTGTCTTTGGTTATATTTTGCTTGTTTCTTTGTTTTGTTGTTTAGGTTCCTGTCAAAGATGAGATCATATGGTATTTGTCTTTCACTTCCTGGCTTATTTTGCTTAGCATAATACTTTCTACTTGCATCCATGCTGTTGCAAAGGGTAGGAGCTCTTTCTTTCTTTCTGCTGAATAGAATTCCATTGCATAAATGTACCATAGTTTTTTGATCCATTCATTTACTGATGGGCATCTAGGTTGCTTCCAACACTTGGCTATTGTAAATTGTGCTGCTATGAACATTGGGGTGCATTGGTTCTTTTAGATTGGTGTTTTAGGGTTCTTAGGATATAATGCTAGCAGTGGAATTGCTGGGTCCAAAGTCAGATCCATTTTTAGTTTTCTGAGAAAATTCCATAGTGTTTTCCATAGTGGTTGTACCAGTCTGCAATCCCACCAACAGTGTACTAGGGTCCCCTTTTCTCCACAACCTCTCCAACACTTGTTGTTTGTTACTTTGTTTATGATGGCCATTCTGACTGGTGTAAAGTGGTATCCCATTGTGATTTTAATTTGCATCTCTCTGATAACTAGTGATATTGAGCATCTTTTCATGTGTTTCTGGATTCTCTGTATGTCCTCCTTGGAGAAGTGTCTGTTCAAGTCCTTTGCCCATTTTTTAATTGGGTTGCTTGTCTTCTTAGAGTGGAGTCATGTAAGTTCTTTGTATATTTTGGAGATGCAACCCTTGTCTGAGGTATCATTGGCAAATATGTTTTCCCATACAGTTGGTTCTCTTTTTATTTTAATACTGTTTTCTTTAGCTGTGCAGAAGCTTTTTATTTTGATGAGATCCCATTTGTTTATTCTTTCCTTTATGTCCCTTGCTCTGGAGGATGCATCAGTAAAAATGTTGCTGCATGAAATATCTGAGATTTCCCTGCCCATGTTTTCCTCTAGGACTTTAATGGTGACATGACTTATATTTAAGTCTTTTATCCACCTTGAATTTATTTTTGTGTATGGTGTAAGTTGGTGCTTGAGTTTCATTTTTTTGCATGTAGCTGTCCAGTTTTCCCAACACCATTTGTTGAAGAAACTGTTTTTACTCCATTTTATGTTGCTGCCCCCTTTGTCAAATATTAATGGACCGTAGAGACTTGGGCTTATTTCTGGGCTCTCTGTCATGTTCCATTGGTCCATGTGCCTGTTTTTATGCCAGTACCAGGCTGTTTTGATTACAGTGGCCTTGTAATACAGTTTGGTATCAGGTATTGTGATCCCTCCTTCTTTGCTTTTCTTTCTCAAAATTGTAGCAGCTATTCGGGGAAGGTATTCTTACTAATGTTTTATCTGTGAATTTAATGGTCTGAAGTAAAAACCCTTTTTCTTTTTTACTTTAAAATTCAGCTCAGGAATTTGTATCCCCCTGTAGTCAAATAAATTTTTTCATTTGCAAAACATTATTTTTTCCAATTGGGTTTTTTGTTCAGGCATAGGAACCATGTTATTTGGTTTTGTTTTCTTCCATTTTAGTGAGTAAAGAAGGTTTAATGAAAGATTCTGGGTTTACTAAATAAGATTTGAAACAAAACAGGACTTAAATCTAAAACTAACATTCATAGAAACTTTAGTCTCTGCAAAATGTAGATAATAATTGCATCCACCTCATGTATTATCATGAGGATTCGAGGGGAAAATGCATACATACTTAGCACAGACATACTTAACATAGTACCGGACATAGAGTTGGTCCTCAATGTTATTATTTATCAACAACATCATCGATTTTATATAATTTTCTTGAAAGACTATACCAAAAGGGAGCTAGGTCAAAATTTACCAATTCATGAAGTTCAATACAATCTTGCAAATAAGTTCCCCAAATATATCATTTATTGAGACTTCCCCTAGCTGACTCCCCTCACAGGTACATTATATTTTTAATATACAGAAGGATATATAATTATCTCTGGATGATAGAAATTTGGATGGTTTTTACTTTATATATTTTAGACTGGCCTGATTATTTTCTTTAACTTTAATAATTAGAAAGAGGAATAACACCATTCCACTTCCATGTTATTGTTATGAAATGGTAAAACAAATTATCATCCTTTTTCTTCTGACAGAAATCATTACAATATTTGGCAAAAATCATAAGTCAGGCTAATTTATCACTTGAGGGACTCTTGAATATGAATGCTAATTCCTATGGCACTAAATATAGTTTGATTTTTAAAACATCTTTTAAGCCATTTTGAAAAGTCAGGGTTAAAGACCATTAGCTAATATTTACTAATAGGCCAAGCAGTGTTCAATGTCCTTAATATTTAGGTCATTTAATCCTTACAACCACCAAATGAGGTACTAGCATTACTCCTTTTACAGAAGATCAAAGTAAGAAAAAGTAACTTATATAGGGGCACACCGAGTAGCAGAGTTGAGGTTCAAACTCAGGTGCATTGATTCCAGAGTTCACTCACTTAACCAGTACACAAACATACAATACAGATACAAGACACACATACTGTTTATACAGCCATGTTTCTTCTTGATCTCAAATTATTTAAATCCATCTTTTCCAATTGTACCTCATTAATGCAAATTGTGTTGGCCTTCTCCCATTTCCTTACTTCTTAGCACTTTCGGCACTTTCATATTAATTGTTTTAATCCTCACAATGATATGTCATAGTATATGTAAACAGTTATGGTTCATCACAAGTTCTTTTGCAACAAAAACTGGAAGAAAAAAAAAACACCCCAGCAATAACCCAGATTTAACTGTTGGATTCTTTAGAAACTTCTTGATAACTCGGAATCAGGAAAAAGGTAACCAATAAAAATAATCTTAAACTCCAATTATTTAGGATCAATGGCAGTTTAAATTTTTTTCATCTTAACTAGCCTCTCGGCAGAGAGCATATCTCTACCAAGCAAATAAACTAGTGAAAGAGGTTTTTAAGGAAGGTGTTAAAATACCGACAACTTTTTCATCATTTATTTAGTCCTATCATAGTGCCCTATTTTTGAAGGTTTTGATGGTTAGATTTGCCTAGGTCTTGTGCTTCCACTTACTAGTTGTAAGACTTTGGGGCAAGTTTCTTCATATGAGTCTTAGGGTGTCTTGTGTAAAATAAGGATAATACCTATTTAGCACCATGCCTATCACAGGCGATACTTGGTAACTAGGTATCACTTATCAGTGTGTCACACAACGGAAACCCACCTTTGCTAGATTCAGTTCACTTAGCACGCCCTTTTTTTTTTAATCACCCTCAGTGATACCCAAAGACTGCCCATTCATCCATTCACCTCTCCCAAACCGAGAGAATCATAAGTGAGGTAGTGAGAGAAACTGGGTTCCATGAAGCACCTTCGTAACAGGACCAGGAAGGACCCGGGCAAATTTATGTACTCCTCAAGCCCCGGCAGGCAGACAGAATGCGAGATCACCTACGTGGTTGTTGAGCCGAGAAAACTACACCTGTGTGTGCTCAGGTTGGCTCCACAGCATGGGGAATGCCTGGGCTCCATAATCTGACAGATGTGTACTCATCACGTGCTTGTTACCTGTGCTCCTTTAGGCAACATACTTAAGAATGATAATAGTACCTACCTCACAAAGTTGAGGCTTAAATGCGATAGCTCCTGTAAAGAGTTGACACACACAGAGAGCTCTGCCCACAGGCGGGGCTGTTTTAAGTTCACGTGTATCCATACAATACAGATGGTCTCGAAGAAGACACATTCCGTTGTTAGACACTGGCAATAAGCCGTGTTTCTTTTCGCTTAAGCTGCACCTTCATCTGTTTTCCTCGAACATTACATGAAATGCCTACCGAGTGATATATACAGTCTACGGACCTTTGGGTTCACGGTCCCCACTGGCCCTCTACCTCCGAGGCTGAGTTAAGAAGGACCAGAACGCAAGCGCAAGGAAAGGAAGTAGGCTGATTGCCACCAAAGAAGCAATGGAACAACAGAATACAGCCATAATTCTGCGCATGTGCAAGGAGCGGGGTTGGGGGAGGAGTCGGCGCGTGCGTACAATTGTCTGGAAAGCCAGAGTGGGTGTTTGGAGGCGGTATTGACAGTTCAGAAGGCCTCCCGCGTTCCCGGCATGCGCCGGGGCAGCGGGGTTGGCTATATCGAATTTGAATGAGGAGCCTCAGCGCTTTCGGCGCCATTTTCGAGTGATGCCTGATCCCATCGATTTAGCCGGAGAGATGAGATAACCTGATCCAAAGTATATCGCCAGTAGAACTCCATCAAAAAATCACTAAAAAAATCTCCAAAAATCCCTTCGAAGTAGAACAGTTCGTGGAGCTTCGCCAGGGTTGGCGCAGTTGGTAAGAGACTGAAGTTAGTAGAGCGGGACTCGGGAAGTGGCAGTGGTGGGACCTGCAGGCGGTGGGGGGGTGCAGGGAATGGGCACTGGGTCCGCCCTCATTTTAATTAAGAAAAATGTGAAGAGATAGGGTTGGGGGATAACTAAGTGTCTCCGAGTGGGCGGTGGCGGGTGGAATGTGGCGAGAGCGCGAAGAGGCGGGTGTGTGGGGGGAGGGGAGTAGCAGTTTGAGCGGGACGGTGTCTGGCTGCGACTGAGCTGCCGCCGCCCATCGGATCTGTCAGCAGGACCTTAGAGGACCGGGCCGGGGTGCGGGGTGCGGCGTGCGGCGGGCCACCGCAGGCCGCAGCTCCTTGACAGGAGCAGGGGGATGAGCACCTCCTCCCCTACTGCCCAACCGAGCGGTCTTTTATCGCAGTTTTCCCCGCCTGTGGACGGCGTTCTTTTCGTATCGTGAAAGTTAAGGTCGGTGGAAACTGAGGACCTGGAGTAGCGGGTTCCTCCCGTCCGTCGTGCGGGACCCAGCCCAATATATTGCCTTTGAGCCAAAACTTGAGGTGTCCTACGAATGTGAGTTTCACTATGCAGCACTCTGGCTCTGAACACTTCCATCCGGGCTGGGGTAGCACTGACCGCTTAACAATTTGGGGAGGGGGCAGACTTTTGAGGTTTTAGCGGACTCCTAGGGAAGATGCTGGACTTTCGATTTTTGCTTTTCCGGTGTTGTCCTTTCTTGGGGGAGGGGGTCTTGGGTGAGATGAAAGATGGGGCTTTGAGCTTGCAATTTCCTTTCTCTTTGAGATTTCCCCAAGCCGCACTTTCTTAGAAGACTTTTCTTCTCCAACCTTTGAAACATGTCGCGTGGAGGAAAACAATCGGTGCACCAGTAACGATGTTTTCCTCCTGAAAAGTCTTTACTCAGACAGTTTGGCGGTAATTTTCCAGCCCCCACCTTTTTCTTGGGAGCTCTCTTGACTCTGAGACGTAGGGAAGAGGGATGTATTTATCATTTACTTTAGTGATAGATTTATTTTTTAGCTCCCAGATTCCACCAATTCTTACTCGACAACTCGAATCTTTTGAGCCAGTGATGGCTTTAAGTAATACTTTATTGACTTTGACCTTTATAAATTTTGGACTTGGAATCCTTTTCTGCGGTGAAGGAGCCACTAGATTAACCCTTTGCCGGCGCGATGTTTTGCGTGTGGGGCGCACGGCTCTGTGTTGAGAACATGCAGGAGATGGTTTTGCAACAGCTATTCGGTTGTTCCCGAAGAGGAATAATGCTGCAGTGGAACCGCAGTCACACTCTGTTCAGAGTCCTTTGCGTAAAATTCCCCCCACCCCCGGAGCTGAAGTAACGATTGAGTGATTTCTTATTTCTGTAAAGACTAGGGGACCCGCCCTCACAATCTTTCCACGAAGAGAACAGGAGAGCGCAATGTGCTGTTTTTGAAATTGTGTCTAACGGAGTTCCCAAAACACTGGACTTTTTATCTCCTGAATGGCTGGAAGCAAGCGGACTGGGGGCTTTGAATGTTAAACACTAGATTATAATACTCGACTTTACGAAAAATGTTATTTTTAGAGAACCACGGAAATAATTACAAAAGGTTAACACGGGTTATTTAAAAACAGCTGGTCTTTAATATTTTTTTTCATAAAGGAACTTAGCGTAATTCTGAAATGTATATTAAAAGAAAAACCGAGGAGGCAATTTCTGCAAAATCGTATTCTGCTGGCAAAAATCACATTTATGTATCCGCCCCTGTTCTCTGTTGGTTAAAAACTGAGTGAAGCATTTGGATTTTTTTTATTCTTTTGACAAAATTTTCATCATAAACTACATATATTAAATTCAGATTGTGGGACAATTTTTTTTTTAATTCTGGTAAAAGGAAACTAATATTCTTGATGTTAAGAGTTTTCTACATTTTTTACAAAAATTGGATATATTTTTAAAAACTTGTCACATCTAATTTAAAATACATAGATTTTACTAACTCAGCCATTGTAGAGGGCTTAAAACTTTATTTACAAGAAATGTATGTTGCTTAGTTTACACAATACAGCAGGTAAGTATGCACAGGTGCGTATATATGATTTCATTTCTTTAATAAATGTATCATGAAGAAAATACTGCATACAACAGTGTACCCAATGTGATTTATTTGGTCCATTTTAAGTTGATTTTTAATGTTGCTTGGGACAGCCGTCAGTGAATTTCTATTTATGACCAGGCTTGTCATTCCATTTTTGCATCTTGATAAAAGTTGGGTGTGGTTTTCAAAGAAAATTGGTAAATTCACTGATTAAAAAGATAGGTGTTGATCCTTTTTAAACGTTTTTCTTTTAGTTTAATAGAAATTAATATCTTTTTATGAATAGTAGTTGAAATTTTGAAACTTTGTATTCTCACATTAGGTCAAATAAGCATGGATACGAAATACTCAAATGAAAAGATACTAAAACTTTCATAAATCTCTGCAGGGCTGTAACTATAACATTAAGTGGAATAACAGAGTTTATAAATCATACTATTTTGGGCCTTTATAACAAGAATTGCGGTTACAGAACCCATGTTCATTGCCTTTTTTTCAAAGCTGTTTTTAGTCATTTCATGAAAATTTCATAGAAAATCCTAATGATTTTTTATAAAATTTGATTTGATGAAGTTGTGGGAAACCTCTTTTCTATTTTAAATGTAATTTTGCCTGTGATACCTGAACTAGTGAGGGGTGTGTGTGTGTGTTTACTATTTTGTTTTTTGTGTTTTAATTTTCATTCTGGTCATTATATGACTTGGAGAGTTTTTAGGGTAGGGAAAGGCTTTCAAATTTTACCAGGCTGATTAAATTTAAACATACTTTTTTTAATGCTTTGGTTTATGGTTTTTGTTTGTTTTGGGGGTCAGATGAGTGAGGATTGTTTTGCTTAATAAGCCATTTTTAAAAGAAGTGAAGGATCAAAATACTACACCTAAAGCTTGAGAACGAACTAGCACCTAAATAAAATCCACAGCATTCAAATATATTTTACTTTTTATGAGATGGTAGATTAGAAGGAAGATTTTGCTTTTAGATTTGTGGGTGCAACAGTATTTATGTTTCCAACAGATGCATTTAATTATTATATTATGTATATAATTCTAATTTATTTTCTATTGTACTGTAGAGACTAGAAAAGTCATAATACCACAAGAAAACAAAGGTGTTGCCACAGTAGCTCAACTCTTTTTAAAGCTGTGTTTATATATTGTAGGGGAGAAGGAACTAGAGAGGTTCCCTGGTAGTATTCATTTTCATTTGTCCTTCTTCCTAGACAAACAAAAGTACAATTTAAGACTTTATTTAACTGCTGTCAATTTTTGTCAAAATGTAGCCTTAGGTGTTTTTGTGTAACACTATTTTTCCTAATCAGATTAATACTGTTTTTAATGTTTATCATGAACTATAGAGCTAAGGATGAAAATTTCAAAATAACTCATATTCTGGATTCCTTGTATCATCATCTTTGTGTACTATATTTTTGTTTTTTGTTTTGTGGAGACTTACGTTTATTTTTATTTCTATTTATTTGTTTATCAGTATGTAGTAACAGTTCAAATGTAACAAAATACTTTAATCCAGAAATGTTGATTAGTTGATTGGGTTTACAGAAAGAAAAAATATAGCCAGAAGACTGTATTAGGTATTTCTTCTACATGATATATAAACTTTCTCCAATTAAAAAAATCAATTAGAGTATGAATTTACACACTTTTGAAGTATTATTCTACACAAATTTCTGTCATTTAAAAAATAACTGGCCTAATGGCTCTTGTCTTTTATTTCTTTTGTTCAGTGAAGCTTAATGATTTTATGTTGATTTCTTTTTAACCTTTTTTAAAAGAAACATAGTATTGATGTGATTATAACTGGAAAACACATCTTAGAAAGACTTGTCATATTTTAGAGTATTAGTGTACTTGTAGTTTTGTTCTTTTTTTTATTATTCAGCAAATTTAAAAATACTGTGTGCCAGGTATGTAATTAGAACTCAAACTATGACTTGCTGAAATTTGGTAGACTCTCTCTTAAGACCAAAGGAAATCAATAATAAATTACCACTTTATTTTAAATATATCAAAAATTATATTCAGCTGTTTTGCTTTTTTTTACAAGTGACTATTAGAGCTTCAGAGTTGGCTTAATATTGTGAGTAACACCAGTTTTAGGATATCACATTACTAATATATGTTTCTATATTTGTCTGATTATTTGCATATACAAATGACTGTAAAGCCTTCCTAAAAATGTTGATTTCTGATGAGGAAATGATTTTCTTTTGCCTTTTTTCCTCCTTGACTGTCCTAGGGATGCTTAAAAGATCTTTTAGAAAGATAAGTTTCAAATATTAGAATTGGTGTTAAATATATATATATATGAATTTTATTCTATATACTTATTAAATTATGAGACATTTAATATACTTTTGGTTAATTCTGTCTTTTGTACTGGAAAGACTTGTGAGTTCTGAATATAAATAATCTGCTTTCTAATAGATTTGAGTTTTACTATTTCAAGGGTTTTTTTACATCATCTTTATCATCTGATTTAATATTTGTCTTGTATTTTAACTCACTTTTCTTGTTATTTAGTATATTTTGTTTTTCTGCTATTTAAAAACTTAATATCTGGCAGAGAGTACATATTGGTGTCTGTATTTTCCTTTTGTGGTTTCTAAAGTTGATACCTTAATTTTTAGAGTGCTTAAATATAGAGAACTTTGTATCTTTGAGGAAGACTGTAGATATTATTTTAATTTTTAAAAATGTTAATGCTATTTGAACTGGTGTTCATAGGTTATATGTGTGTGGTTTTTGCCTGTAAACAATCAAATGTTTGGCGGAAGAGGATTAAAGGTTTCCTTGGTTTTCATTTCTTTTCCTAATTCATTTTTAAGTAAAAGTAGAAAACTCAGAGCATTATGGGTCACAAATAGTACATTATAAATCTTTGG